CATTACCAAACTAGGTAACATTATCAGTACAAACAACCAAGGTCAGTTCAGTTCAACCCAGAGGTACAAATATGCTTTTCCATCAGTTAGCTCAAGGAATTTACTGCAGGTGAAGACATTTTTTATTCAAGGTGAATAGCTCTTTAATTATTTTAGCTGTTCTTTTAATTTGCTTGATACCATATATTCACAGACAGTGACCGCCTAGTGGTGTCTAGAAGAATCCAAAACAACAAAATTGTGGTCATGAGAGCATGATCATAGTTCTGCAGATTTGCACATAGGTCAAGATCACACATACAAAGAAGGCTTTGTTTGGGGAAAGGCTTCGTGTGCATTGCCATAACCAGTATTTTCAGTTTTTTGAGCATCCCCCACTGGACACCAGTGACACTAGCCTAGAATACCATTACTAATCTTTCTATAAACAAGTTTCACTATCATGCTAAGTTATGTTTGCTTAATAATGGGTTAATAAATAAGATACTGATTAGGTTCATACAGCAAATTAAACCAATTCCAAACAAACAGGAAGTGGCAGTCAGTTAATGAGTAAGACACTTAATTGATTAGGTTCATACAGCAAATTAAACCAATTCCAAACAAACAGGAAGTGACAGTCAGTAGCATGGCAATGAGGAGGCTGTGAAATAGGAATATATTTGGACTAATGAGCAAATGTTATACTGCTCCAAGTCCTATAACATGGGTGGGTTTGAAAATTGGATAGATGGGGAAATACAGGAATGTGTGGGAGATGTAGATAATTTTGTTGTGAACCCCATGAAAGGTGGTTTCCCTTAGAGCGGTTGATTGTTTACCAAACACAGAATCAACATCCTCATCAAGGAGGAATGGCCTCTTTGTTACACAGGCACAAAAAAGAGATCTGTAACTCCTTTCTTGGCTAGAAATAAAACTTCGAATACTTCGGAAAAGATTGTATTGAGGTGGAAACAGGAATGAAGTTGCTTATTTTCCAGAGAAAAGGAATTTCAAATAAATTGCTTCAAAGGTTTCTATTTTTGTAGAACTAAGTGAACATCGAGCTAGAAACTGCATTAAGAGTCTTTGGGTTTTTTTTTTTGGCCTCTGTGTTGCTAAGAATCTCTGTTTTTAAAGACATCTATCATACCAATATAATTTATCGTTCTTGGGAGATGGAGTTCAATCTCTTGTCTAATTGCAAATTATTTAGACTGGTCCAAACAGGCAATTTTGCATTTCCTATTAAATGATCAGGACTACAATGTTTCTAGAAGACTGACAAAATTATGTGGCCTATCAAATGCAGTTGGAAGCTGTATGATTTGCACATAATCTTGGTACGTGTAGTTCCTGCTCCATGCAGGTCATAATGTTGATTATTTTTTATTTTCATTTCTAGCAGGGTTTGGTCTAGAACTGCAAATTTTTAAATAAATTATTTGCTAATTCTCCTAACAAGTTCATATTTTTAATCTAACATTTTAACATTTAATTTTCAGAAAGAGTTGAAGAACAGGCTGTCTCCTACAATTTCTTTATGAAAAAAGCATCGTGAGGAGAGGACTCAATTATCTTTTTTGCTCTGATCTGTTTCTAAAGAAATATCTAAGTTTCTTACAGTGAGGAAATAGATGCTCTGTATCTTTCTAGGAATGTACCTTTTGTTAAGTAGGTAGATTGAAGAGACTGGAGGCAGGCTTCAGACAATAGCTCTTTATTCAGTAACTATCCACAATCCAGCAGCCAGTCTCTCTGAGCTGTCAGGGAAACCAGTCAATCACATTTGAGTATTTTCCCGCTCAAACAATGGACCAGAGGGAAGACTTAGGCTGTCAGTATCTAACACCTTTCTTGGAATGTACCTAACTGAAATAGCAGATCTTCATTCTGTACTGTATTGGGGCAACCAATAGTTTTAAGCCCATCAAGGATTGAAAAGTATACTGTGACATATTGTAGTGTAACCATCTGTCTCAGTGTGCTATATGCTTGAAATAGCTCTGTGTGAGTATTTACATACCATAAGAATATTTTTATTCTAACTGGAAAGACTATGACATAGTTACTCTTTCCTGGAAATCTCAACAAGGGAAGTAGATATCATTTTCCAATTGAGAAATCTTGTAAATTACTTATTTAACTTTGTGTGTGGCTTCTTGTGGCCTATCTCATGAATATGCTAATAATAGCAATAAGTCTTCCTTCCTATTTGACCTAGAAAAAGCACTCTCCCAACATTTTCATTGCTTGGCAAGAACAGACATCTGGATTCTACCCAATTGGCTTACATTCTGTTTAAGCATGATGCATGAGAGGGAGACTGAAATAAAACAGCTCCCCAAAAACCTGGCAATCAACACATCTGGGTTTCTATCATTCATTGATATCTTGGAAAAATGCTGACTACAACTTGATCACCAGTTCATAATAATAACAAACACACTTTTCAGCATAGTTAAATGGATAAAGTGCTTCCTGGAAATTTATGCCTCCTTCATTTATCCAAATGAGTACAGCAAGAGAGTTGATCATGAAATGTAAAAATAAATACAACTTAACAGGATCCTGCCAATTAATGGCCTATCCTTCAAAATTTTAACAGAATAACAGAGTTGGAAGGAACCTTGGAGGTCTTCTAGTCCAACCTCCTGCTCAGGCAAGAAACCCTATACCATTTCAGACAAATGGTTGGCCAATCTCTTCATAAAAACTTCCAGTGTTGGAATATTCACAAATTCTGGAGGCAAAAAAAATAATTGTTTTAGAATTACTACCAGAAGATATTCAAAGCTGTCATATGACTTTCTTAAGTAACTGATGGTTATCCTACTTTTTTCCTCACTCTGGATTAATTTTTGTTGTTGTTGTTATTGCATCAACATGAGCTGGATATAGTAATTCCTTGCTTCATTTCCTACTATTGCTCAGTGTCTGAGCTTGCACAATATATTTGTGGATAACTGACAAAATTTTCTTAATTTCTATAACACTCAGTCATTAACTATGCAGAGTGATTAGATTCACAAATGCAAAGCTAAAATAAAATTGGTAAAATGGGTTCAGCATTTTGTAGGAACATACCAGACTTGGATTACTGTGGGAAAATCAGAAGAATGCCTAACACAGCTACCCAGTATGGCTTGGAACAATAATTTTACAACCAATTACATTTTCCACAGCCCACAGGTTTATTTTCCATGGGAGAATGGTTTCTGTGGTGATACTCAGACATAAAGTTTATCCTGACCTGAACATATTCAGACAAGTAATTAGGGAACTATTAAATATTGTGGCTATATTGTATAGATTCATTTAACAAAGGGAAATACTATACATATGGAATGCAGGCCAGATATGTACAATAGGTAGCTGAATCTTTCTTCATTAGCCCTGGTGAATGCATCTTTCTTCATTAGCCCTGGATCAGATTGGCATAGAGACTTCTCAAAGAGGCTTCACCTGCTTGCATTTACATTCCCATGGGTGAGGTTCCCATTTGCATTGCTTCCTAAAATGTTGGGAAAGTTGCACATTTGTTGGGGCGTGAGAACTATGAAGGAATTGGAAATAATGTTTTGGCAATTTTCCTTTGGGTTAAGCTCAGCACAGCCTACACACTCGGTTTAGGACTGCTTGCACTATGGGTAGCCTTTATCTGACATACAATTGAAAAAGTCTTGCTGCAAACACTAAGAAACACTAATTACCTATAAACAAAATACATTCAAGAGCACTGAAGAGGGATTTCTTTCTTAATTAAACGAAGTTAGTTTTTATAATATGTTGACTTAATTTATTTAATGTTCACTTACCATATTATACGAGGTCAATAGTAACAGCTTAGCATTGTATACAAACTATATATTTATTTATTTATATTCCTCCCTTGTTATTTTTATATATAAATAAATAATTTTTTATAAATAACTGAAGGCAGCAAACATAACTAACACTCCTTCCTTGTCCTATTTTCCCCACAACAACTCTATAAGGTTAGTTGAGCTGAGAGAGAAAATGGCTTACCCAGCTGGTTTTTCATGTTTAAGGCAGGACTAGAACTCACAGTCTCCTGGTTTATAATCCAGTACCTTAACTACTACACCAAATTATGCCATTATAGCTTGTTTAGTAAATCATGGATTTAACAAATCTGACATAACTTTATGTATAAAGCAACCATAGGATCATTTATCACTTATGGTAGAACAATGTCAAATGTCTGCTTATTTAATCAAAGTAACAATAATGTCACATTAAATAATCCATAAATTAGGTGTAGTATTTAAGGAATCAAATTAGAAACTGGGACACCATCAAACTAGTCCCTTTCTCTCAGTCCTAGGAAAGAGACAATGGCAAACCACTTCTGAAAAAGCTTGCCAAGAAAATTGTTCAGACTTGTCCAGGCAGTCTCCAAACATCAGACATGACTTAACAGAACCTCACACATGCACACAAGATACTTTTTACTGGATTTACACACCAAATAATGGCCTTTCCCCACTGCTGAAGTGAAGTGCAATCAGGCCATCCTTGATTTGGCAAAAAAAAATGATACCATATGAAATTTGCTGTCCTCATTGCCAAACCCTATTGCCTATGCTTCAATTCATTGCAGTCACTAGTCTAGTGGGTGATGGGCAACGAATGACAATACCTAACAGATATTATATGCTTTTGGAAAGTATCAGAGTAGAAAGTAAAATATGTCTGTAATATCAATGTTAACAAAGACATATAAGGCTATTGGCTTAGATCCAGATAAAAGCACAGAAACAGAAAAAATGTTGCCAGAACATGTTTAGATAATTCTAAGACATAGTTAAACTATGACTTGTTGCCAGAGTGAACTAGATCACATATAACACAAAGTTAGATATCAGGGTTTACAAACTCCAGTTGGGTTCACATAGCATAAAAGAATGGAAAGGGAGCTTAGAGGTCTTCTAGTCCAACCCCCTGCTCGAGCAGGAAACCCTATACCTGTGATGGCAAACCTATGGCACACATACCAGAGGTGGCACGCAGAGCCCTCTCTGTAGGCACGTGCGCCATTGCCAGCTGCTCTTCTGGATTCTGTCATGCGCATGCGTGCTGGACAGCTGCTCTCTTCCAGGTTCCGGTGCTCCAGCATGTGCGCATGTGTGCATACATGCTCCAGTTTCAGCATTCGGTACCAAAAAAGTTAGCCGTCACTGCCCTATACCAACCATCAAATAAATGGTTGTCCACTCTCTTTTTGAAAGCCTCCAGTGATGGAACGCCCACAACTTCTGAAGGGAAGCTGTTCCACTGGTTAGTTGCTCTCACTGTTATTTCTTAGTCATTTCTCCTTAGTTGTAGGTTGCTTCTCTCCTTGGTTAGTTTCCATCCATCGTTTCTCATCCTCTTTTTTTGGTGCTTTGGAAAAGAGTTTGATCCCCTTGTCTTTGTAGTGATACTAAATCACACATTATGCTAAGCTAAAACAAAGCCATAGATAAATCAACACACTGGAGGTAAGCAACATACTAGTTCCATAAATTCCTAAAATGTTGGTTTTGTATATTTCAGTTAGGTATACTGATTTTTTTCTAAGTCACTCAGAGACAATTTGATTGAGTTTGGTAGGCATACAAATATTATAAATAAATAAATAAATTACAACTCTCTGCATCTTGAGGAAGCATGGCCTATAGTAAGGAATGTTAGGAGTTATAATTCAACACCATCTGTTGTGCTACTGCTTGTCAAGTACAACTTAATATGAATGTGTGAAGGCAACATTTATGCAAATCTTTTTTCATCCACTTATGGCAGTGAAAAGAGAGAAGAGAAACTCAGTCAATGCCTTCATGTCAGTGGTTTGGTCTTACTAAATTTTACCAGAGAGAAAAGGAGAGGAACTATAGGCTTGTAACTTTTGTGGAAGGAATGTGACTCGAGCATGCAGTTAACTTATATTTTTATTTTTCTCATTGTTAAAACTGTTAATATATTGTTTGTGTAAAAGGATTGGTGCCAATTAGAAAGGCAAGACCTAACTATTTTAGCAAGCCTATGTAATGCTTCCTTTCCACACACACGCGTGCACACACACATACCTCACTCACTCCATGTTTACAATTTACTTAATGGTAGGGGAACTGATAGCTTGAAAACCCAACAAGCTCTGTAAGCTGGCTCATAGGTGCTTGATACATCTTACATTTTAATACATATCTATATCTATTTATCATCTATTTATCTATCTATCTATCTATCTATCTATCTATCTATCTATCTATCTATCCCTATATCTATATATGTTTTCCTGTATATTCATGCTCTGCATATGCTTGATTATTTACACATATAAAAATAGAACTAGATATATATCTAATCATTGCATATAGAGAGATTAGTTCCACACTTCTTTCACTGCTAATATCCTGTTCAAATTAACTAGATATCAAAGTTTGTGTTCCCTAGCCTTTCTTTTGATCACCACACATTAAGTGTACTACATAATCCAATATATCTGGACTTAGCATCTCATCATGTTCAAGACTATAGATAAGGTTGAGAGCTCAAGTAGATTGCTGAGTTCAAGTAGAGAAATTCTGGCATCTTTCACAAAGAAGGTATAATGCATTACAGTGTGAAACATAGTTAGCAATGTTAACTGTGGACACTGTATGGCCACTATGGAGCTAACATGGAATAATAATAATAACCTTATGGAACACTGTTTCCCGGGTGATTAGCAGGCCCCTACTCTTTTAGGCGTTTGGAAGGCCATTAAGACATAGTTATTTACTAGTGCGCTGGGATAGGATTGTATAGATTGAAAGTGTACAATGGGGACAACTGGAGCTTGCTGCAGGACATCACAGGGCAATGATTAAGACACAGGGTTTTTATCGTTTTGTTTTATAGTGATTAGTTTACTGTTGTTGTGAGCCATCCAGAGTTGAATAAGATGGGCAGTCATCCATCCATCCATCTATCTATCTATCTATCTATCTATCTATCTATCTATCTATCTATCTAATATGCACTACATATTTACACTACTCTTTCTAGAATTAGACCAACTCATTAAGTATAGGAGAAACAGTGGCTGAACCTGGGAGCAGAGTCAAAAGAGAAATCAGCCCAGCTATTTAGTCATTCACTGGAATAGGTTTGATATTAATAACAAGAATCATATGTTCTTTTCAGGCTGGAGCTACACCAGATGACTATGAACATTGTCATTGGGACATTGCATTGTATCAATTGTGTGACAAAGCTAATTGGATATATCTGACACAAACTGACGTGGATCAAATCAATTTATACATCAGGCTGAAACTATAATGTAATTCATTGCTGTGTGAACTTCTGATAGCCATCTTCCCCATAACAATTGGATCAAAAGGTGCAGCATTACTCAGAGGAAGTGCCAAATTGCTTATTCTAAGTTACCCCAATAAAGGAGACAAAATTTCCTAACTTCAGCTTCCGAGTGACATTTTAGATAGCATTTTCGTAAGTCCTCTATTTTGTCCATTCCATTAACTTTAATCAGGAACAGAAGAGTTTTTCTCATTCCTTTCTTCCTTTTCTATATGTTTTCTATATTTATTTAATATTATATTTACATCCCACCTTTCTTTTGTACAATTCAACCCAGTATACATAATACTCCCAACTCCATTTCCCCCCCACAACAAAAGCCATACGAGATAGATTGGGCTGAGAGAAAGTGACTGGCCCAAATTCACCAGCTGTCCTTTACGCATAAGAGAGGGTATTCGAATTTACAGGGTCCCATTTTTAGTCCAGTATCTTAACTATTAATTATTAATATAAATTACCCTCACATAGCTCTTAAGGTCACTCCCAAATTACTTAATCTGTTTTAGAAAGAGCTTATGTCTAAAACTTTCACATGAAAGATGTACTGTATATATTTTCTATAGAAAAAAATAGGAAAGCACCGTAGTAAACATACTTATGCAAATAAGAATTTATTTGTTCTTTAAGGAAGTACACTGACATTTTTCTAATAAATTAACCTCATCTATACAAATGTAGTTTTGAGAATACTGAATACTGATATTCAAAATGATCATATTTCTCTTCAAGATATATGTGTGGGCATATAACATATAACACACACACACACACACACACACACACACACACACACATATACAAATATAGGTCCCATTAATTAATATGTAAATTTGGAAGAGGAACATAAGAAATGCAGAAGATTGAAGGAAGACTCCTAGTAAAAGAATACACAAGTCAGCAAAAATTAGGTATTACAATGTATGGGTACAACTGTTTTAACTTCAGGCTGCAGAACTAAGTCAGGTTCACCTACATAGTATTAGAAGGCGTGGAAGAGGTCTTGTAAAGGAAATGATACTGAGCCAAATAGCTTGAATGTAAATCAATGCCCATATTAAGTTTTCAACCAATTAGGTGGTTCCGTCCCACACGCCTGATGGATCCGGATAGGTTCCTGATGGAGCTTGGGCCATTCCCTGAGGCTCTGGCTCATGACTCGACTGAAGAACTGGTGGCCGCCTGGGATAGGGCGGCCACTGGAGCTTTGGACCGCCTCGTGCCTTTGCGGCCTCTGACCCGGTGCCTATCTCAATTGGCTCCTTGGTTCTCTGAGGAGCTGAGAGAGATGAAGCACCGGAAAAGACACCTGGAGAGCGATTGGAGGGCCAGCTGTTCCGAATCTGACCGGACACTGGTGAAGTCTCATATTAAGATCTACCTAGTGGCGATAAGAGCGGCAAAATCTAACTATTTTTCCGCTCTTGTTGCATCTGCAGAGAACCGCCCAGCCGCCCTGTTTAGGGTGACCCGCCCCTTACTTCATCTGGGAGCACGGGAAGACCCCTTGCAGGGTAGGGCTGAGGATTTTGTGCAATACCTGCATGACAAAATCGCTCAGATTCGGGAAGGCTTGGACTCCGACTGGGTTGGTTCAGATGGGGTGATGGAGGTGGGTCTTGAGAGTGTTATCTGGGAGGAGTTTGATCTTGTGACTCCCAAGGACGTGGACAGGATTCTGGGTAGGCTTAGCGCTGCCACATGTTTATTGGACCCGTGTCCCTCCTGGTTGTGCTGGCCTCCCGGGCGGTCACACGAGGCTGGCTCCAGGTGATTATTAATGCTTCTTTGAGTAAGGGTTTCTTCCCTTCTGCCCTGAAAGAGGCGGTGGTGAGGCCCCTCCTCAAGAAGCCTTCCCTGGACCCGGCTGTATTAGCAAACTATCGTCCAGTCTCCAACCTTCGCTTTGTGGCGAAGGTTGTGGAGAGTGTGGTGGCACAACAACTTCCCCAGTACCTGGATGAAGCTGTCTATCTAGATCCATACCAGTCGGGCTTCAGGTCGGGGTACAGCACGGAAACGGCATTGGTGGCATTGGTTGATGATCTCTGGAGGGCTCAGGACAGGGATTGTTCCTCTGTCCTGGTCCTTTTGGACCTCTCAGCGGCTTTTGATACCATCGACCATGGTATCATGCTGCGCCGGTTGGAGGGGTTAGGAATGGGGGACACCGTGTTGCGGTGGTTCTCCTCCTTCCTCTCTGACCGCATGCAGTCTGTGTTGGCAGGGGGACAGAGGTCGACCTTGAGGTGCCTTGTTTGTGGGGTGCTGCAAGGGTCGGTCCTCTCGCCCCTCCTGTTCAACATTTATGTGAAGTCGCTGGGTGAGATCATCCATGGTTTTGGGATGAAGTTCCATCAGTATGCTGATGATACTCAGCTGTACATCTCCACCTCGGACCACCCCAATGATGCCCTTGACGTGATGTCCCAGTGCCTGGAGGCCGTGCGGATCTGGATGGGGAGAAACAAGCTCAGACTCAACCTCTCCAAGACTGAGTGGCTGTGGTTTCCGGCGTCCCGGTATAGCCAGCTGGCTCCATCACTGACTATTGGGGGAGACATCTTGGCCCCCTCAGAGAGGGTTCACAACTTGGGTGTCCTCCTAGATACACGGCTGTCTTTAGAAGATCATATGATGGCGGTGGCCAGGGGGGCTGATTCGCCTGATTTACCAGTTGCGTCCCTTTCTGGATCGGGATGCCTTGCGCATGGTCACTCATGCCCTCGTCACGT